TTGCGGTACGCGGGCCTCTCACTGCTGTGGCCTCTCCCGTTGCGGAGCACAGGCTCCGGACGCGCAGGCCCAGTGGCCATGGCTCGCAGGCCCAGTGGCCATGGCTCACGGGCCCAGCCGCTCCGCGGCATGTGGGATCTTCCCGGACCGGGGCACGAACCCACGTCCCCTGCATCGGCAGGCGGACTCCCAACCACTGCGCCACCGGGGAAGCCCCAGGTGCACTTTTAACCTGTCATTTTCTACTACTTCATCCTCCCATTCTGCTTCTCACTGGTTCATAAGCCGCACAGGAGCCCCAAAGTTGAGTTTGGCATCACTGGAAAGAGTTTTGCCACCTTAGAAACTGTTAAAAAAGGAACCTGGCGACTTGAAGAACCGAGCCTGAACAGTGTCCCTCCAGCTGGGAAGGTCACCTCCTCTGGCTGATTACAGGCAGCGGAGGTGAGCTAATCTGCCACTCAGACGAGCCGGATTCATCTCGGAGAACAGGGCGGCGGCGGCAAAGACCGCCCTGTCACGATGATGTCATGGAAGCACCTAAGGGTCTAAAGCAAAATGGATCAGCTGACAAAAAATGGATAAAAGGTCATTAAGCTGCTGGTCCAAATTATAGCTCCTAGAATACTACAACTTAGTTTACTATGTTATCAGCTCATCATTTCTTTCACATAAAAGTCAGGGTCCCATAGAGATCTAAATGCACACAATCTCACCAGAGGAATGCACGCTGGGGCCCTCCTGTCCACCTAGCACAGGGACCCCCGAGGACATTCTTCCTAAGAGACGGTCATTAGGCTTTTATTTATACACTCAACAAGTGTGCACCAGGCACTATCTCAGGAGCGGGGTAATAATCCAGAAAAACTCCCCGCTCACGAAGCACGCGTTCTAGTCTGAGCGCTGCCAGTGACAGCAAGCTCACTGCTTTGTGAGAATCCCTTTGGACACGTGAGTGAGCGCTGCTAAAAAGAAGTAAACATGCTTCACTGCAACCAGACTTTGTAAGTGTTGTCTTCTGTAAGGACCCAAACTTAACACTCAGGTGTGGTCCGACGCATACAAAACAGAGGGTGCAATCAGCCAAACGTTTATTCGTACTGCTCCTGGATTTTAGCAACCCTTCACACCAGTAATCCGTGCAGAGCAAGTGGTCCATGCAAAGCCCCTGGTGTTATTCACTTATTTCCTACTGAACTGCTGTCTGGGCCGTTCTCCAAGATGTACACTTAAAACATTGATTTTTTTCACCCCACAGGCAAAACCGCTTCTATCCCTTTTCAATGTCACCTTAGTGGTTCTGGCCAATCTTTCTGACTTAACAGTTTTCAGTTAAAAAGAAACATACTATATCAAACGTTTGTAATCTTGAAAAAAAAGCCATAGGTGTTCTAAAGGCTTTGGGTTATGCTAACATTTTCTGCCATAGTAATTTCTGAAGGAATAGAGAATGTTATTCAGAATGTGGAAAACAGGTGAAGTTCAACAAAGAAAAATGGCACTTGTATCACTCAAGGAAAATATTACCTGAAGCCGCTAATGAATACTGGCTACATCTTAAAAGGCAGATCATTTACGTTTTACTTCTTGCAACCAAACGAGATAAATACTGCCATAATTTCCCTTTTAGGCCAGGCAGGGCTAGAAGAGCAAGTCGACTCTTTTAGGGACTAAAAGGTGAATTACTGACTTAGTTCTAGACTCATATGATAGGAAACGAGCCTTTGTTTTTCATGGATAACTCTGGTAACAGTCTGGTTAACTGTTACAAACCTGTAGGGCTCCAGTGAACTTAAACATACATTGAAAAAAAAGAGTTATTTACCCCGAGGAGTTATTTATCATCAGCTTGATACATTAAGAACCCACTTCAAGAAGTTACCGGACGAAGTGAGAGAGTGGCACGGACATATATACACCACCAAATGTAAAATAGATAGCTAGTGGGAAGCAGCCACATAGCACAGGGAGATCAGCTGGTGCTTTGTGACCACCTAGAGGGGGGGGATGGGGAGGGGGGGAGGGAGGGAGATGCAAGAGGGAGGGGATATGGGAACATATGTATACGTATAACTGATTCACTTTGTTATAAAGCAGAAACTAACACACCATCGTAAAGCAATTATGCTCCAATAAAGATGTTAAAAAGAAAAAAAAACAAAAAATGCTCACATCGGTTCCTTGTTAGGCATCTCATGAAACCCGTGACATAAATCAAAAGAGCTTCAAATTATTTTAGGGAGAAAGTGAACAAACAAACAAAACCCCTTTTCAGGATAAAACTGAGAGCCCAGATTAAGTGCATCCAATTATTAATTCTAATACGTGACAACTAAAAATCCTAAGGTGTGTGTGCTGCTCTCACACTTAGGTGCTCTAGGGACAGATGACAGAGCAGTGGCGGCAGGGGCAGGGGCTGTCTACAGGGGTGCACGGGGCAGTTTTCCGGGGTGACGGAGCTATCCCACATCTTGATTGTGGTGATTGGTTACGTAACACACTCATTTGTCAAAACTCTGAGAACTGTACACCTTTTAAAAGGGGTGAATTTCACTGTATGTGAAGTATATTTTTTTTAAACTGGGGAGGAAACAGAAGGTCGGTGAGAGGAAGAGTTGCTAGTCCTCGGAAGTGGACGGGTCTCTGGCACGGATACAAGTCATGACCATTTCACTCACCCCAGCAGTTTCACCCCACTGCCTCCAGGGAGGAGAATTACTATTCCTCAAGTAATCACCCTCTCTCTTCCCATTTTCTCAACTATCAGAGGTCCTCAACCACCGCTCACTTTCTTCCACACTACCGCTCTGCTCAGGACTCCACGGCGTCTGCCGGCAAAGCCAGCACCCACCTTCCAGTCTCTGCCTTAGCAGTCCGCCATGTGTGCACCACTGGCCACCCACGTTGGGCTGGGACCCTCTACTTCCTAGACCGCTGGAACGACCCCATTCAGAATGAGGCATCTCCCAGCTCTTTGCTTCTGGGTTTCTTGTGTTGCTCCTCCCCGGCGTCTTCTCAGCCAGGCTGTCCTCTCTGATTCTGCCTCTGTCTTCATGCTTACATGTTTGAAAGCCTATCCTTCTGTCTCCCCTTCCGTCCATCAAACCATCTTCTCCTTTAAAGTCCTCAGTGCTATCATCCAATCTCTGTCTAGGCTCTTCTCTCCTAAGTCTCCTCACGCACACGCCTTTGCCCCCTCCGCCAGTCACCTCTCCCACTTTTCTTCGCTTGACGTTCCTATTCATCGTTCCAGACTCAATGCAAACATCATGCCCAGCGGGAATATTCACCGCCTCTCCAGACGAGGCTAAGTCCCTCAAAAATTTTTTTTAAAGTATAGTTGATTTACAGTATATTAGTTTCAGGTATACAGCATAGTGATTCAGTATTTGTACAGATTTCACTCCATTAAAAGTTATTACAAGATAATGGCTATAATTTCTGTACAATATAATTGCTGTACAATATATCCTTGTTGCTTATCTATTTCATACAAAATAATTTGTATCTCTTAATCCCCTACTCTGACCCTCCCTGCTTTCCTCTCCCCACTGGTTACCAGTAGTTTGTTTTCTATGGCAGTGAATCTGCTTTTTTTCTTTTATTTTTTAGATTCCACATATATCATACAGTATTTGTCTTTCTCCATCTGACCTATTTCATTAAGCATAACATTCTCTAGGTACAAACACATTGCTGCAAATGGCAGAATTTCATTCATTTTTATGGCTGAGTAATATTCCATTATATATATATGTACCAATTCTTTATCCACTCATCTGTTGATGGACACTCGGGTTGCTTCCATGTCTTGGCTACTGTAAATAGTGCTGTTATGAACATTGGGGTGTGGGTATCTTTTCTAATTAGTGTTTTTGTTTTTTCTGGATATACAGCCAGGAGTGGAATTGCTGGATGATATGGTGGTTCTATTTTTTGTTTTTTTAGGATCCTCCATACTGTTCTCCATAATAGCTGCACCAATTTACATTCCCACCAACAGTGTAGGAGGGTTCCTTTTTGCCCACATCCTCGCCAACGTGTGTTATTTGTGGACTTTTAGGTGATGGCCATCCTGACTGGTGTGAGGTGATCTATCATTGTTGTTTTGATTTCTATTTCTCTAATAATTAGTGATGTTGAGCATTCTTTTCATGTGATGGTTAGCCATCTGTATATCTTCTTTGGAAAAATGTCTATTCAGGTCTTCTGCCCATTTTTTAATTGGGTTGTTTGGGTTGTGATATTGCGTTGGATAAGCTGTTTATACGTTTTCATTATTAACCCCTCATCACTCATATCACTTGCAGATATTTTCTCCCATTCGGTAGGTTGTCTTTTTGTTTTGTCACTGGTTTCCTTTGCTGTGCAAAAGCTTTTAAGTTTAATTAGGTTCCACTTGATTATATTTGCTTTTATTTCTTTTGCCTCAGGAGACAGATCCAAAACAAATATTTCTATGACTTACATCAAAGAGTGTTCTGCCTATGTTCTCTTCAATGAATTTTATGGTCTATAGGATTTAGGTCTTTAATCCATTTTGACATTATTTTTGCATATAGTGTGAGGAAGTGTTCTAATCTCACTCTTTTCCATGTAGCTGTCCAGTTTTCCAAGCACCACTTATTGAAGAGACTGTCTTTTCTCCACTGTAGATTGTCTCCTTTGTCATAAATTAATTGACCATAAATGTGCGGGTTTACTTCTCAGCTCTTTATTCTGTTCCATTGATCTATATGTCTGTTTTCATGTCAGTACCATGCTGTTTTGATTAGTGTAGCTTTGTAGCACAGTCTGAAGTCTGAGAGGGTGATACCTCCAGGTTCGTTCTTTATTCTCAAGATTGTTTTGATAATTTTGGTGTTTTGTGGATCCACAGGAATTTTAAGATTATTTG